CATTGTACAAACTAAGCAACCAGCTATGTTTCAAAGAACGCCGCGCCGCTCATGGCTCGCCGTAATTCAATTTATAATTGACAGAATATTCCACAAAACCGTCTTGAATTGGTCACGGACTCGTCCCTCCGAAATATCTTCATGGGTCAGCATTTCCTCTGCAATGGCAGCCCTTGCTTTGGCTGTGCGGACAGTGGATGCTGCCCGCTCCGTCGTGACACTTGGTGCTGTGGTGATACAGGATATCAAGCACAGCAGTTGGCTGTGGAGTGGCTACCGTCCTTCATGATACCGAGTACCGGCTAGGAGCCGTGATCGGATTCGGCACCCTCCCAGGGCGAGGTGTGACTTCCCGCACGCCGCTAATACACCCCCACTGCCAGTCACTCTGATCGCGATCATAGTGATCAATAAGGAAATACGGCAAATCATCCCGTCCCGGACCGTACCGGGCGTGGTCTTACAGGCTGGGGTGAGGAGATGGGAAGGGTCAGGAACCTCAGTCAGCCCAGACAGATTGGGTTGATAATAAGACGTTTGAACTTCATCGCTTTGCCTTTTCCCAAAATGTATAAAAGGAAGCATTTGTATTCTTTGACACTGTCAAATAAAACTGGAATAATTCGTTCAGCACTGTTGCTTTACCCATCAAGATTTCGTCAAGCTATATGCCAGTTATTTTTAGGTGCTCTGACCGTTGCTGTTGACGCTGCTGTTGCGCAGTGAGCCCGGTGCCCGGTCGGAGTCAGGTCATGACCAGGTCAATGGCCGGCGCGCGGTCAGAGTCAGGTCATGACCAGGTCAATGGCCGGCGCGCGGTCAGCCGGCCGGCCGGCCGTCGGCACTGCCGATAATGAAGACGCCGATAGGGCCGGCGGCGGCGGCTGCAGTGGCGCCGAGCGGCACAGAGCAATGCATCACCGCTGGCTGCCAGCCGGGACCGCTTTGATCGGCGTGATTTATAATAATCCGGCGTCGACCGGCCGCCGCCCGGCCCATGACCACGGGATTTAGTTACAGGCTGAGCGATGCATTTAGAGCATTCTGCCGGCGATTTGCATAACAAAACGGTGCGAGTAATTAGGTGGTGGGTTTGACCGGCTTCCGTGCCGCTCCTATCCGCCGACATACACGACATTGTGCCACTAATGTGTGTGTTGTCTGCCGCGAGAAACGCGGCCGCCTCTTCTGCGGCTCTCAGAGCTGCCTTCCCCGGCTCTCAGAGCTGCCTTCTCCGGCTCTCAGAACTCTCTTCAGCGACTGTCATGACGGCGAAATTCCCGACCGATAAGCCGTCTATGCGGTCGATCCCGCCCGGCACGCACATGCCCCTCCCTCGGTCCACCCACCCGCCCCTCCCCGGCTCACTGTCCGCGCAGATTTCTCCTGCGCCGAGATACGGCCAGATATGATCGGCCACTGGAATTCAAATCGCCGTAATTGCGCGTCTCGCTGTTGCATATATATCAATATACCGGTGCGTATGCTAACTCTGCGTTGCTATGCCGTAGGCGCTGGCCGATGGGCGTGTCGAAACGGTACGGGACGGGACGGATGGACGGAAGGACGGGACTTGCAGGTCGGATTTCACTCCAGACATTGACTGGCAGCACTACGGTTACCACGGTACGATGACAGTTACTGGCAGCAGATCTGTCAGTAACTGTCATTGTATGGCTGGCAGTTACTCAGCCATTGACCCGGCTGGTGACCATACATGGAGGTAGCGCAGAGATGATCCGTTCATGCCGCACAGTTGTGGTCTTTTACGACCACTCTGCGTTTCTCTAGACATACCGTAGCGGAAGGACTAGCTCAAGTCGTCTCACTGCCGTCATGTCACTGTCAAGGCTATAGACTGGCTACCATCACTGCACAGAGTCGATCCAGCCGACTGCCTTCACATCACGGGAGGGCCGACCGCCTGGCATCGCGAGACGTGAGCCCGACTGAGGTCGGCAGACTCAGTGGACATCAATAACAAACATGTCTCACTGACGGCCAGGAGCAGTGACGAGTGACAGCGCAGAAACGGAGGCATCCCGCGGCCGGATCGCGTCCTCTCCGCAGTCCGTCTCGTGTAGACGCTGGTTGCTGTAAGGAATCACAGCGGGCTCGTTCAGATAGGCTGTTTATGTGTTTTTGGACGGCTGTGTGCTCTGCGCTGTGTCAAAGTGCATCAGAACTGAGGGATGCATTGGATTCGTCCGTGGAAGTTGTTTCTGTGCATGTTGCTTAGTACTTGCTAGTTATATTGAGTGATAATTGGAGAGGATTTGTCGGCTGAGAGATTCGGATATTGAAACGGTTTGACGTGCCGGGCCCCACCCCGCGCTACAATTGCATCCATTTCTGTAGTGGGTGATTGACAGTGGCAATGTCTGTAATCTTCGGGCCCTTAAATGCAGTCGTTTTATGGGCGTGATGCTGCAGTGATTTATTTCTATGGCCCCGGCAGTCGAACGAATCAATCGTGAGCCCCGAACCGGTTGGGATTTTATACCTGCCCGTTGAGTTGCACAGTGCAAATTGTCGTCATAAAAATCACCGCGCGAATAGCGGACATGAACGGTTTAGTGCACGAACTACCAAGCATGTTTGACATAAGTGTTGTCCACTTTTATACCGGCATTGTTGAGAGGGCCTCTCGCGTGCACTCTGGGCTCGCGGATACGGCCATCACGTGACTTGATCGGGTGTTTATTCCGTGCCCGACATCCGGCATGCCATTAGAATGTGATCTTTTCAGAGATGTTGGGCCGTGAATGGCCGCTCAGGATGCATATTATTTGTCGCAATAGATGACACATTCGTTACCTTTGGTATCCCTCTGCCAAATCCGAGACAAGCAGATCGACGAGCTGGTTTGGCCGACCGACTTGGATAGAACACGGTCCGTGAGCAGTTGTCACGCTGACGGAGAATCTGATGCCGATGATGACGAACGGACATGACATCGTGTCGCATAACACCGACTCTCCTAAGTACCCGTTCCCGCTAGGCAACCTGTTTCTCTGCATAATTTTAATGCGATTAATTTTGTCCGCACGGCGGCAGTCGGAGAAGGTTTGGTCCGTGGCATGGCTGACATCGGTCGTAATTTAAATCTATGTCGCAAACATTTTCAGCCGGCTCATGTTACCCTTTGTTCGTGCCGAACAATTTCCGGACCTTGGCAGGCGGCACACAATAAGCATAGGTCGCATAGGCGACGATTGGTTGTGGCAGCAAGCGCCACGGAAAAACTGGCCGCCGGCCGCGCCCGGTGGATGTCTTCCAGCTGTCCGCAGTCGCATGCGACGCTGGCCACTTTTTCTGGATGTTTATGACAAACGATGCTGGAAGGCGTCTCTTTATACATAGGACCATTAACCATCGGTTTTGTGTCGTGTCATCAAAACAAGCCGAACCTCAACAGACGCCCTCTGAGCCGGCAGACTCACAGTTCGACACATTTACCAGCGACATGTTTATTCACACGGGTTCTGGAAATGGAACAGCATTCTCCGGTGGCAGCCAGAGGTGACGTGCGCAGCTGCCGAGACTATCACAATCCATGTTCGCTGCACAACTACAGAATGAAAGTCGGCGGCGCTGAGCCGGTGTTGTTGTTAATAGCCGGGTGGAATGTAGACGGTGGGCGCCGGCCGGTCGGGGCGGTGCAGACGCAGAGCCCCGGCTCATGGCACCGATGGTGTCCATACTGGGGGCTCTGGTCCGAGGTCGCCCCAGACCGGGGACCGTCCGGACCGGGGACTGATCCTCCGGCTGAGCCACAGAGCCGGACTGAGGTGTCAGCCGGCGTCCCGCGGAACACGACTCCGGAGCGCGGCGGTGGGGGTAAACCCGCTCCGAGCCACCCCGGCCCCCACCCCACTGCTGACACCTGCCTGAGGCCCACACCGAGACGGCTCAGCAGCGGCAGAGGCTACTCCGTGCAGGTGACAGGGGGGGGGGGGGGCTCTATCCACTCTGCCAGGGACATTAGAGGTGCGCTAAGGAGCACTAATGAACTTCCGGCTGAGACCCGTGGATCTTTATATCGATCGAGGCCATTGGTCTTTTTTGTTGCTTAGCATTTTTTGCTGCTCTGGTGAATTAAGAATCCTAACCGGTGCTCTTGTTGGTGTCGCCTTGATCGATCGGGCTAAATTATCAGATGTAAAACTGTAACACCGGTTGTGACTGTCTTCGAATGCGATTGGCGACGACGTATCTTATCATAATGACGCCCAATGGGCTAACATTGGGACCTATTAAAACGGTTGCATGCTTCTACAAAGTAGCAAAGATATGGTGAGAGCTTTTGATAATAGTACTACCAATAGCTTTGAAAGTCGCATTATTCCGTCAGTTCGCACTAATCTGAATATGGAAACCCTCTCGCCTCGGTTAGAGACGGACAGACCGTCAATGCAGTGATGCGTCTCGAAATGGCCGCTCAATCGGACCTCCTGTCCATCACGGCGCGATGATGTGCCCGACCGGAGACAGCCGCACAACCTGGTCCCGCATAACGCGCCGTGTGACGGCTGCGAGTGGTGGCGTTTCACCGGCCGCGGCCCGTCGCAGCTCATTGGGGCTGATCCGTGCCCCTGCTGGGCCGATCTGCCACGCTCCGAGCCAGGTCAGGGGCGGACCGACCTCACACCGCGCCCTGAGAGTCGACCCGTCCCGCCCCGCCCGGACTGGCAGGACGCGGCGGATGGGTCAGGGCGGCGGTGAGCTACATGGGAAGGAGGTTAGGTCACCAAAGTCTGCTCGAGGGCGCAACGCTTCTCTGGGCTATGACTGGACTCTCGATCATTCAGCCCAGCGCAGACTCTGTCGGGGACGGGAGACTCGGCAGCCGTCAGTGATGATCTGGCGACTGGCGAGACTCTTCCCGACTGGCGAGTGGCTGTCCGTCTCCTCCCGCCGCCGCCGCCGCCGCCGCCGCCGCCGCGCCGTCCCCCTGGCGGCGGCTGCTGCCGCCCACCGGCCGCCGGCCGCCGCCGGCCGCAGTCCGTGCTCTGAGGTCGGTGGGGGTGCACGTGTGTGCTGTGCTGTCTCGCGATAGGTCTGAGGAGGAGCGGTCAGTCGGCCGCCGCTGTGGTGTGACGCCTGGCATGGGCAGCGGAGTCTGTCGAGCTGCAGTCCGCCAGTGACAGTGCCGAGTCGGCCGGTGACGCGCACACGAGTGGCAGATATGGCCCGCGGTCCCACCGAGTGGCTGCTGACGCTGCTGGCAGTGCTGCTGTTCTGCGGCAGCGCCTCCGCCACAAAGATCTTCTACATCCACTGGAACACAACCAACCCCATGTGAGTACCTGCTCGGGATGCGATGAAGCGGACGATCGGACAGCAAGGCGGGGTGCGATTGTATTTCTCTCTGATTTATGTTTCGACGATGTCCGGGGCGACCAAGCATGCAAAACGCTCCTCCCATTGTTGTCTGAGCAGCCTGTCAGCCAGGCGGAAATATATTTATATTTTATTCTTTACGACTCAATTACTCTGCGGCTGCGATTGGCTATAACTTTCTCCGATCGACGGACACCTAACGACGAGGGAATGCCTGCGTCTGATCTGACAGCGATGATATATGTCCGGAACGCTGACGAGATTACATGTGTTTTCTCACGCCGAGGAGCGTCTGCAGAAACTGACACGATCGCGCCGGCCTCCTCTCTCTCACGAGCTTCGTGTTGGCGCCTCCCACGCGCGGTAGACGTTTGGGGCAGCGCGGCGGCCAGCCACTTCAGTCAGTCGCTGACTGACGCCGATGCTGACTGACGCCGGCAGCCCGACGAACCGAAAAGAATTCCTTGCGCGGCGCTGAAACCGTCGTGTGGTCACCGTCATCGTATAATAGAGATGGGACTACTCAAAACAGTTTTTGTATCAAATGACCAAAAATTCGTCAAAGCGCCTCGCCAATTTCGGTTATACAAAATTCCGTGCCGGCAAATAAGCACAATCGACGGACCGCGAAGCTCTACACGCTGAAGCGCCGTTGATTATACTCGCCTCCCAGACGAGAGAACTCGAGCGGATCCCATTGAACAGGAGACTTTGCCTCCGTCGTTCATCGGGTCATAAGATGGACATGTGTAACTCGTCACCCATCATTTATCGTCGTCAGGGTGATTCAGGACTAAAGTCGATGTCCGTCTTAGACGATCACCGAGCTGTTCCTAAAACGTTCCTCTGTTCAGGCATCGTATCAAAATGAGGTTAGAGAGAAAGAGTGTAAGAGAAAAAGATGAAGAGAAAGAGAGAGAGAGAGAGAGAGAGAGAGAGAGAGAGAGAGAGAGAGAGAGAGAGAGAGAGAGAGAGAGAGAGAGAGAGAGAGAGAGAGAGAGAGAGAGGATGTGTACATATGTGTGTGGTGCTGTATGTTGTTATGGGCTGCGGCCCGCGGCTGTGGTCCTTATCAGCCATTACCTGACGTGTCAGTGGGACGGGTCGGCTGGTAGGTCGGAGAAGGGTAACAGTGCCGCTCGGTCAGAGGCAGTAAACACCCAGCGGCCAGCACCGATTGGTCGGTGCAGACACGGGCCATGATTGCCGAAAATGTGCTCTTCTGGGCAGTGTCGGGCCGTGGTTTACAGAACAGGACAGGCGGTACTTCAGTGTGAACACAATGAAAATAGTCCCTGGCTCGTGTTTTACGTCGCTTCCTCGTGCCAAGATCGGTGTCGGAAAGGCCTGACTGAGCAGATGTTCGATCAAGATTGTCTAATTTTTTATTTGTTGATGTCAGTTCGATGTCATGTATCTTGATTAGCACTATCCTTTATACACCACACTGTAATGTGGTTTTATCACCACTACACATTCCACGAATAGGTTAGACAGTCACAATCTCCTAAATTGCCTCTGAATTTCCCATCCGGGGTGAACCGAGGACAATTGACCCTGGGTGGGCCAGTGCCTCCCCGCTGCTACTAAAGGCGAAATCGACCGGCTTTTATCCGCCACACGCTAAAATTTATACAAACACATTGGCACGGCCCGGCTCTCGGCAGCAGCTCTCCGGCGCGGCGGCTCGGCGGCGCTCGCGCTTGTTTGCGTTCCGGGCGGGGAATGTGCGGGCCGAGCCGGAGCCGGGGCCGGAGCGGCCGCGGCGGGCGGATCTGCCGGCCCTCCTCCCGCCACTCCATGACAGCTGAGTCAATGACACGGCGCCCGAGAGTCAGAGTCAGACGGCTCACCGCTACCGGGTGGAGTTCAAGGGCCCTCGGCCGGTGTGCACAGGAGGGACTGCCCGCTACCGTGCGGGGCGTTGTGTTGGTCCGCGCGGAGCCGCGGGGGGGACGGACAATCCTTGCTGGGATGGTACGGCTGGCCGGCTGGCGACACGAGCAGCGGACAGGACGATAATAGTGATTCAAACGGGGCGGGCCGGCCGGGCGATAGTCGCTCCCCGTCTGCACCTGCGCGCTCCGCCCGCTCCATTCAGCTCCACCGGTCCTGAAGAGTTCTCTCTCGTTCTGTGTCCCGGCGGACCGACATTCCCGCTCGGCGTCCCCATCTCCTCTACCACCGTCTCCTTACCTGACTGGCCATTGTCACAGTCCGCCCAGAAACCCCGCGTCGGCCGAGCTGGGACCGGCGCCGGGTGTGATTTATTTCCGGGCCTGGCGGGCGGCGGCGGGCGGTTTTTGGGGCTCGTTAGCCGCCATTGACGCCGGCTGCCGGCTCGCTGGCTCTCACGGAGCCCGCTCTCCCGTCAGAGTCCGTGGGCGGAGAGTGAGCACCGGCCGAGAAAAGCTCTGATCGAACCGGGCCTCTCCGAACGAAACGGGTGCGGGCGCGGGTCTGAGTCAACTCGTCCATCTTCTCCTGACGCGGTGTGGCTTGGTTGCGGCCATGATTAGGGCTCGCTTGAGAAGCTGACATGCTATGAGCTGGTGCGCTGATTGAGATAACCTCTGTGCAGACTCGCTGAGTTGGTGGATCTGCCCGATTGACTCGCCATCTCTGCGTGCCTGTGTGATGAGCTATAGGTATTCTACAGCCGTCAGCAGCCCAGTCGGCCGGTCAGCAGCCGTCTGCTCCCGCCTGCAGCCACTGCGTACCGAATAACGGGCCTCCGCACCGAGCACGGTCACGTGACCGATCCCAGCCTCAGCACCTGCGGTCACGTGGTTGCACGGCCTACGTCCGTTCGGCGCACTGCATACTCCATGACCGGAGTGGTTAGTGGGAACGGATGCCGGCGCCGGCCGAGCGCCCGGTCCGGGGAACGATCGGCGGCGGCTCCGGCGGCTGTGCCGAGGGCGGGGGCGGGGGCGGCCGGTCAGGGTCAGGCCGCTGATCGGACCGCCGATTGTTACCCGGCGCTCGAGCATCCTTCACAGCCGGCTGAATGGGATGATCACAGCGCCAATACAGTCGGCCGTCACTGCGGGGTACGCCGGCTCTCCCAGTCAGAGACAAAGCAGCTGCGGTCATGTAGCCCTGTATGAAGCGTCCATGAGAAGTCTGAGCGGCGCGGCCCTTCTCCGAATCAATTTACATCACTATTCACCGTTCGTGTGCCTGATCACCATTGCATTCCTGGCTGCCATAGCGGCGCCGCCCGCTGTGCGATCCTTTCTCTTCGTCTCTCCCCACTCTGGGCCACTCCCGGCTCCGTGGGGGGGGGGGGGAGGGGGCAGAGGGAGCCATGGTGATCAGAGCGGCTGACTGCAGACTGCCCATACCGCCCCCGCCCCCGCCCCCGCCCAGTCCGTCCCCGTCTGCCTCCCTCTCACCAGGTAACCGCCTCTTCACCAGACTTCGCTCAGACTACACGCATTAATTAATAAAATTACAATGGCTAATGACTGCGAGCTCTGCGGAGCTGTCGGGGCGACGTTTGGCGACAGGGGATGTGCATTAGAAGGGCGTCTGGCGGCGCACCGGCTCGCTAATGGCCGACCCCCGGCCGGAGACGTCTGTCAACCAGTGACGGCCAGACGGTCGCGCTGTCTGACCGTGACGCCAGGTGACGGACGGCCGGCCCGGGCGGGCCTCCAGAGGGGGCCGAGCGGCCAGCGACCCGACAGAGGAGACGATTTACTTCTGGACGGAAATTGTCTCCGGTGGTGTGTGGGCCGCTACCGCATTGATTACTGATTACTGGGTCAGGTGAGGTGGGGTAGTGTGCGTGGAGATGTGTCGGATATGGTGGAGCTCGTCCATAAGTCTTTGGTTGCAGATAGTTGGCGGCTTTCCTAAAGATCGCTGCCGAGAACCGTTGCCGGTTTCTGTCTATTGAGATTTATTGGCCGTTAGTGTGATTGCGGAAGCTGTCACAAGTCTCGCTCCTATATCCAGTTCGTTATTCCAGCACGCTATTCCAGAGCGTGTTGGCTCTATTCTGGGTCAGTGTGCAGATATCTAGCGTAGGTACTCCAGGGTGCACCGAGCAGCGATATTGTCTCGGAGCTGGCCACTGCGTCGATCTTCCCTTTCCATCACCGCCGAGCTGTCGTGTCACGTCGGTCCATCACTTGGCACTCCGATAAAGGTCTAGATCGAACAGCGCTACCTACTGGCTGCCGGTAACGTCTTTCAGAGCCGCAGTTTGCGCATCCACACGTGTCCAGCGAGCCCACTTTCGCCCTGCTCCGCCCGGCCGTGAGGCGTGATCTATCCTGACCTGCACCGTTCCGTTCTGCCCTGTTCTACCCGACTATGCCCTCGCTGCTCGCCTGTCGACGGTCCGTGTCGGAGAGGGCAGCGTTGACAGCCGGTGACTGACGGCGGGTTGGAGTACAAGACTCCGTCTGCAGCCCTGGCACCGCTCGCTGCCAGCGGCGGACGCTGCAGACGGGCCGCGGAGAGCACCCGCTCTGTGACCTCAGTCTCTCTCAGTCACACACGGTCCAGCTCGGCGCATTGACAGTATCTCGGTCGGATCACCGGTCAGCTGAGTTAGTGAGCAGCGATGTCAGAGCTCCAGAGAGTGAAGCTCGCCCCGCTGTGAGACGCGCCGTGCAACCACTGCCGATCTTGGACGACCGGGACCCACCCAACATCCGGGGCCGGAGTGCCGATTGCGCGAAGGGCGGAGACATCGGCTTCGCGATGAGCTCACGACTGCCGCTGGATCGCGATTAATCATGGCGGAGTTAATCGACCGAATTCCGGTTGTGGTTACTGTGTTTTAAGCTGGTGTTATTGTGGGCTCGCCGGCCGTCTGAATGGAGTGTAATGAGCTCGGTCTGAGTGGCGCTCCGGCGGCCAGTCAGCGTGCGGTGCGCTCTGAACAGCCGTCGGGACCGCCCGGCCGGCCAACCCGCCCAGCCCAGAGCAGGGAGAATGCGGTA